ATATATATATATATATATATATATATATATATATATATGAGTGTTTAGGCTGTTACTATGCAGTTGCTAGGGTGTTCTGAGTGTTTTAGGCTATTGTTATGCAGTTGCTAGGGTGTTCTGAGTGTTTTAGGCAGTTGTTTCATCAGGTGTGTGTGGTTTACCTGGCATAAAGAAGGAACTGGGAAAGCTGCTTCCCGGTGCTTTAGAGGACGGGTAACCCGGTGAGTCCCGGTTGTAATCGGCAGTGCTGGCGGATGGGGCGTATACCTGAAACACACACACAACACGCCATGATCAGGACGGCTAATGACACAAAACACACTTTCAATGTACATTTCACTTAATATTTTATGCCGTGCATTAAGAACCATCAGAGAAGAGACGGAAACAGAGCAAAACTCTTTCCCAGGAAAAAATTTTCATGTTCCCAAAGTGTTGCGACACGATAATTTAGTGCAAATGTGAGACAAGCAGCTGTGGCGGATCAGTGATGACATCAGCACACAAACATCAGAGCATTACTGTCTGGAAAACTGTGCTGTAATGACTAGCAGGAACGCTGGGAACATGCCGGATGGGAATATGGAGCTGGGATAAACACAGCGGATGTGTGAGGACAGAACGACCCTCAGAGATACACCTCAAAAACAAGAACACAGGCGATCACATCTCAAATGCTTCTCCTGTACCAAAAGCAGAGCAAATGGAAACTAAATTGTTTCTGATAAGATAACGTTTTTTTTCCCTAAGCAATTGTAGGTGAAAAATCTGAAACAAATGTAAATGAAGCTCAACTGAAAACTTACGACATCTCCAGAGCTCAAGGGTGGAGTTTAAAGAGTTTTATGGAGACCAAGAGACTTCAGCACAGATGGAGGACTTTACTTTCCCATGAAGCACCTCACACACACACACACACACACACAAAACAATGAGGTTGTAAAGAAAATGAGAAAACGAAAAGAAGAAAATAATATTTAAATTCTTCTATTTCAAAATTTCATGTTGCTAGTGTTATTAGCAATTTCTGAGAGAAAATTGCTTCAACATCAAATTTTTCATAAGGCAGGGAAATCTTTTTAAAAGCTCTTGCTGAAAATGAATCATATTTACATCACTGTAATATTTTCTAGTATTGTTTTGTTTGTCTGTTTTGTCCTTCTGTGCTGTTGAAAATCCAAGAGAAACTCTGTCTTTCAGAGACATTCTGTTATCATCAGCTTCAGTTCCCATTATCCCTGTCCACTTCACATGAATCATGATCTGTTATACACAAATCTGAGAGTCCTCAGAGGACAGACACAAAGTGAGTTTGAAGATTTTAGAATACATAAATCCCCATTTTTAGACAACAGCCTTTTCACTCAGATTGTCATAATTTGGCAGTTTGTGGCACAGATGCAAAAGAAAATTGTTGGAGTTTCAATTTTGGCTCAACGCAGTTGGAAGTATTGTGAAATTGGACATCAACAGATCACATAAAAACATTTTCTCAGAGGAGGTGACCATGAAAGAGCGAAAACAAATGCTACAGGCTTTGTGGCGGGAGCTGTTGTTAGTTTGTGCCACCTTTTTTAATTTAAAAGCAGACATCCAAACAAGCCGAAAGAAAAAGCACTACTTAGGAAAGTGCTTTTTAATGTACAATAACAATTTGAAATAATTGAATATTCATTAGTGGTGTTTGCTGTCCTGTTTGTTGTCCTCTACCCTGGACAGAATTGGTTTTGTTAGACACACACACACACACACACATCTGCATACACATACTGTTGTCTCTCATGGTGAAGGTTTCCTCTTGCTGGTACCATCTATCTTTAACCCTAGAAAGTCTAACACACACACACACACACACACACTCTCTCTCTCACTCACACACACACACACACACACACACACACGTCTGTGAAAGAGATCAGGCTGTGACTTTAGGGGGGTTCAATAACATGGAGATATTGTTCTGGCTGGTTAATTTCTGCACCTGTCCAATGTCCACAGTTAACACACACATTTCTAGGTGTTTAAAGTGGAGTTTTGGCTGTTGCTATGCAGTTGCTATGGTGTTCTAAATGTTGTTAGGAAGTTGCTAGGATAATGCAAGTCTTTTAGCAGATGCTATATAGTTGTTAGAGTGTTTTATGTTGTTTCTATGCAGTTTCTAGCGTGTTCTGAATGTTTTAGGTTGTTGTTACAGTTGCTAGGTTATACTGAGTGTTTTACGCAGTTGCTAAGGTATTCTGAGTGATTTAGACTGTTACGCTGCAGTTGCTAGGGTGTTGTGAGTGTTTTAGGCTCTTGCTATGTAGTTGCTATGGTGTTGTGACTTGTTTAGTCTGTTGCTATGCAGTTGCTAGGGTGTTCTGAGTGTTTAGACCAGTGGTTCTCAACCCGCGGCCCGTCACGAATTCAAATGCGGCCCACCATGCTGAACACAATTTAAAAAAATTACTTTCAGTTTTACAATTCATTTTAGTTTTTACATTAATTTAAAAATGTACTAAATAAATATAAGCTATAGCCTAATGTTTTTATGTAAAATAATATTGTTTTTCATATATTATTTTCAGACATGAGCAGACCTGTACTCACGTAATTAACGTTACGCATTTAACGAAAAC